TTCTCATTTTGCTTTTGGTGATTATCACGGTCCTCCGTTTTCTTCATGCGATCCGAGAGGTCATCGAGGCTCTCTTGAAGTTTCTTCATCGGAGCCACCACGGTCTTGAGGATGAATTTCTTGAATTTCTTAAAGGGATTTTTGGAAGTGGAAGCCATGTGAGAATGACGATGCAAGAGAGAGGCCGAGGAAGCATGAGACGCCGACTTTGATCGTTTGACACGAGGAGCACGAACGGGGACCTCCGTGCTGGCATTTTCTTCGGCTTTGGCTTTGGGTGCTCGTGAAGTGGAGAGCAAGGATGACATGGAACGCCGAGGGCCATACTCCGTTCGTGTCGCCTCATCAAGATTTTGGAATTTCTTGTTCTTGTAGTATTCCTCTCTGATCTTCACGAGGCCACAATACCCAAGACACTCTGCGTCAAGATAGCGGACGCGAGAAGGGCGCACCTCAAGAATTTCTCTTTTGGCAAAGATATGGGTAAGAAGTATGCCATAGGGTGTGTTTTGGAGACCGGAGCATTCGTGCATGTGTTTAATGATAATGGAAGGGAGATTGATTTTCTTGTGAGTGAGGAGGAAGTATAGGAGTGTGCATTCATAAACCCCGACTTGTTTATCTTTGTTAAGGACGGGAATGACATTTTCTTTGAGGATTTTGAGGAGGATGAACCTATTTGCGGTCAAGTCTTGGACATTGGGTCGATGAAGGAAGTAGTGCGGGTCCTCAAAGACATGGTCAAGGGCAATGTTGTTTAGAACTCGGAGGCAAGAATCAGAGTTGAAGTCTCGTGAGTCGGTAATCCACCCCTTTTTGCAATAGGTGGAGACTCCTTGACGCTCTAGGTGAAACCATTCGGAAAGATTTTGGGTGTTGAATCCGAAGGTTTTGCCGGCAACAATGGCGGTAATGGAAGGGTCTTGTGGATGATATTTCATCGAAGAATAAAATTGATGAACATGTTCCGGGTAAACGGGGGCTTGGAGTTGAGGAAAGAAACTCCAAACTTGTTCTTGAATTAGTTCAAGAACGGGAACCGGGATGTCATCTTGTTTAAGGGTTCTCCCCTCGATGATATGTGGGTCGGCGTAAGCCTTGAACCCGGCTTGAGCATCAACTTGATCATTGGAAACAATTTCACTCATATTTGGAGTTTTTGAGAAAATAGGTAATTTTTGGACGAAAATGGGAAGATTGATACCAAATACACGAATTGAAGAGAGTATTGGAAGAAATTTAACCTAATGTTTGAAGAAATTGAAGAATTTGGATGAGGAATTACCTTGATTGAAGTTGGAGAGATAAACGGCGTATGCGAGAGAGAGAACGCCGAAAGGAATTTGTAGAGACCGAGTGGAAGAGATGAGAAAAGCTAGGGTTTTAAAATAAGTTTGACCCGTCGCGACGGTTGGTACCTAGGTACCGGGCTAACGGTACCTTGGTACCGTGTATACGGTATGGTGTACCTTGTCTAGCTACCGTGTAGGGTCCAAAATCCAATCGCCTCTGTCGGTATCTGCGTTAGGACGGGATCTTGGTACCGTCAGGGGTACCGTGCCTCAGCTTAATGTTTTGTTTTGACCTCTAGATGCGTGTTTTGAGCATTTGGACTTGATCAATATATTTTTATGATGTAATGGGATAATAAGAACCTTAAATTTTACTTTAATTCAAGCATTCCCATTTCTCGACAAATATGTAAAAATTGTTTTTCATCCAATGGTTTTGTAAAAATGTCGGCACGTTGTTTAAATATTCAATTTGAATGTCTCCCTTTGCAACATGATTACGTATGAAATGATGTCGTATTTCTATATGTTTAGTTCTAGAATGCAAAACACAATTTTCTGAAATATTTATTGCACTCGAATTGTCACAAAAAATAGGCACTTTTGAAAGTTTTAAGTTGAAGTCACTAAGTGTTTGCATCATCCATAAAATTTGAGCAACACAACTACCCATAGGCACATATTCCGCTTCGGCGGTGGATAGAGCGACAGAGTGTTGTTTCTTAGATGACCAAGACACTAGTGCATGACCTATGAATTGACATGTGCCACTTGTACTTTTTCGATCAATGCAACACCCTCCAAAGTCGGCATCACTAAAACCTATCAAGCTTAAATTTGCATTCTTAGGATACCATAAACCCATATTGGTCGTTCCCTTGACATATCGAATTATTCGCTTGACGGCATTAAGATGTGATTCTTTGGGTGATGATTGGAAACGAGCACAAAGACAAACGGAAAACATTATATTGGGTCTAGATGCAGTTAAATAAAGCAAACTACCAATCATACCTCGATATACCTTTTCATTTACGGGTTTTCCGCTTTCGTCGTTGTCAAGCTTCAGAGATGCATGTGCTCATTGGAGTCGGATATGTTTATGAGTCTTCAAGGTTGAACTTCTTGACTAATTTTTTGGCGTACTTGGTTTGGCTAATGAAAATACATCTCTAGAGATTTGCTTAATTTGAAGTCCAAGGAAAGGCAGTTCTAGAGATTTTTCGCTTCTCTTCATCGCATCTCTCCATCTCTACTTCGCCAGGTCCATATGATTGAGATTACGAGAATCTTAAATTGGGATCAGAAGTTTTTGTGGCTTCAAAATTAGATTGTTTGTTGATTGTTGATCGATTCTCCTTGCTGTGTACTCCCCTGTTGATTCCGCACAGATTGGTGGCTTATTTTGTGCGATTTAGTGGAGTATTGACGAAACTGGGTTTCTGCGATCTACGAGAGACCAGATTTCGATCTGCGCAACTGATGCTCTCTCATGGCGGATGATGACCCTCCTGGGCTTCGTCCTGACCATATGGACACATCTACACCAGGTATTCCAATTTCTCTTTCAAATCCAGTGATTTCCCAAAATTCTGATTTGCAGATCTGAAACTCAGAAATGGAGCTGCAAGCTAAGATTTCTCATGTTAATGTTCTTGAAAGCTCTTCTAAGGGCTTCGACACCCCTCAAATTCTCAATACTGGAATACCAGTTGAACATGTAGATATTGAGGATGTTACTGACGAGGAGTTTCCTCCGCTGAACTACCCAGCCCCCAAAACTATTCCTTAGACATCTGGTAATCTGCATTCTAACACTCATGAACACTATATAACTGCATTTCGAACTTATGTTAAGCATTTGTTATTGTTGGGGAAAACTGAGGAAGCCATTGAAGTTGCTCTGAAGTATAATCCTAAATCTATTCAAACTCCATTGTTAGTTGAATCTGAGAAATCTGCTGACCTATTTGTTGAACCTGATAAATCTGTTGCTCTATTTGTTGAACCTGAGAAATCTACTGGTGGAATTGCTAACTCTACTGTTAAGAAAAATACAGTAAGTATTGATAATGGGAATGAGGTTCCAAAAATATCTCCTGACAAAAATATGTCTCAGTCAGAAGCAAAAGCTGCTCCCAACCTTAACAAAAACCAGGTTCAAACCAAAACTAGTGGACAGAATGATAATAGGCCTGTTGGTCTTCCCTCTAGACTCAGTTATGCACAAACTGTTACACCTCAACAGCAAACTAATGGGGGCTTGAAGCTTGTTTTACCTGATAGAAATATTATCATGCATAGAGACACTCCTACTGTTCGTTTTGCTGAGGAAGAAGTTGAACACTTATCAAAAATTGACAGATTTACCTTGGTTGGGAAATTTTCACATGGACAACCCAAATTGGATGTGATTAAAAAGCACTTTGCCACAGTATTTGCTCAAAGGACAAGTCACTATTGGATGGAGAGGACCTAGACATGTGATTCTCACATTTTCAAATAGCCAGGATTGCACTGATATTTTGCTTAAAAGCCAAATTGCTTTTAATGGTGCTAACCCCATGATATTATTCAGATGGACCCCAGATTTTAATACTGAAACTGAGACATCTATTGCTTCAGTTTGGATATCTTTGCTAGGTTTACCTATTCATTTCTTTGATAAGGCTGCTTTGGCTTTAGTATGTAAACCTTTGGGTAAGGTATTGGTGATTGATCAGGCAACCATGAGTAAAACCAGAACCCATGTTGTAAGAGTTAGAGTGGAAATGGATCTTATGTTACCCTTAATTCACAAGGTCTTTATTGGGACTTCCACTCTTCCAGGAAAAGAAGATGAAGGTTTTTACCAATCTATTGAATACAAGAGAATCCCTCTATATTGCTCTAAATGTTTCAAGCAAGGCCACTCAGCTGAAAAATGTAAACTGGAAGATAGCAATCACTTTTTGGCTGAAAAAACAAGGAAGGGTAAAAATATTTTGACAAAAGATAACTCTCACCAGGACAGGCCAGAAAGAAGGAGGAGTAGAAGTAGAGGCCCTAAAGCTCACAAACAGACTACTCACAAACAAGATGTTCTTGATTTAAGGCCAATAGCTGCTGGACCTTCATATGTACAAAAGGATATATCAAAGAAAAATGTCCCTCAAAAGAAGCAAGAATCTAATGTGTTGAAAGCTGGGGTGGACCAATCCTTTCAAATGGTAGAGAGGAAAAAATCAAACCAGAAAGGACAGCCGGCAGGATCTTCTGCAAAGGAAGCCTCCAATACAAAACTTTTCCCCCTTAATTCAACTATTAGTATACTTCCCAAATCTGCACAAATGGGCCCTTCCAGTTCCCACACTATCAACAATAGCAACAGTTTTGCAATGCTGAGTCAGCCTATTGAGGACCTGCCAACATTAAACCCCCAAGCACCTGAATTTAATCCCACACAATATGCACTTGGGGTTCTTAAAGAAGTGCCTTTACAGTCAATTGACCAAAATCCACAAAATATGAGCATATTATTCCCTGTGATACCCACCGGTGAGATCCCTAAGCAGCTAACTTGTAGTGAGAACACTTTAGCCAATACCATCCCATCTAATACAAATGTAATGTTGGAAGAAATAGATCCTGGACCCCAAACTGCTGAGAATGCTATTGAGGAAGTCTGGTCAGATGAAGGTTATGCTAGTCCCATTGGAGAAGAAGACTCTTATCTTCACCAGTGTTTGATCCTAAATCAAAAAAGCTTTTAAATGATATTTCTCTGGATGTTCCTGCAGCAAACACTAGAAAGGGTTCATCCAAGGCAAAACCACCCAAACCCCCTATAACTAAGAAGTCTAGCAAGGCCAGAACTTCTTCTCCCCCTCCACAATAATTTTATGGATTCCACACTTGTGTGGAATGTCAGAGGGATCTTCACCAGAGGGTCCCTTGATCGACTTCATCATCTGGTTTCTAAACACCATCTCCAACTTGTTTGCATCATTGAACCTTTCAGGGGAGCAGAACACTATGAATCCACTAAAAAACATATAGGCTTCTCACAACATTTTGTTGGGTGCTCTGGGAAAATTTGGTTACTTTGGAAGGATACTTATACCATTAAGGTTCTCTCTGATGAAGAACAAGTGGTTTTTGTGGATGCAACCCATACCCCCAGTCAAAAAACTAGATTTATGGCCTTTGTCTATGCTAAAACCAAAAGCTGGTTAAGAAAGGATCTCTGGGCCTCCCTGGTACAGTTTACTCAGTCTTATACTGTTAACAAACCTTGGGCAGTTGTTGGAGACTTTAATTGTATCCTAAATCCTGATGAGAAAAAAGGGGGTCTCCCTATGTCTTTAAATGCCAGCTGGGATTTCCAACAATGCATCAATGATTTTGGTCTTATGGAAGTCACCACCTATGGTAATACCTTTACTTGGTGGAATGGCAGGAAGAAATTTCACTCCATCTGGAAGAGATTGGACAGATGTCTGGTTAACCAATCCTGGGCTGACACATTTCAGACTACTGTTCATGTTCTCTCTTTAACCACCTCTGATCATTCTCCACTTCATATATCCACAACAATACCAACTTGTACTACCGCCCCTAGGAAATTTTCTTTCCTTAATGCATGGACCACTCATGCTGATTTCATGCAGGTTGTTGAAAAGGCTTGGAAAACAACTGTGTCTGGCCCACCTATGGTTCAGGTTGCTGCTAAACTAAAGGCTACTACTTATGCACTTAATACATGGAATAAGCAAGTCTTTGGCAATATATTTACTAAATTGGAAGATCTTGAGAAGAAGGTTCAGAATGCTGAAGAACTCTACCAGGCTGACCCTAGTGATGAGAATTTAATCAATTTCAAATCTGTTGAAGCCTCATACATCCATCAATTATATCTGGAAAAGCTGTTTTGGAGGCAAAAAGCCCATATTCAATGGATTGAGGATGGGGATAAGAATTCTAAGTTCTTTCACTCTAGAGTGAAGGACAGGAGAAGGAGATTATATATCCACAAAATTAAAGACCAGACTGGAGCATGGATTGAGGATCAAAAACAGATTGCTCAACAGGCCATTGAATTTTACCAACACCTTTTCATTGAAGAGTACAGAGGAGGCATTGATTATACATCCCTCTCTCTTATTCCCTAACAAATAACAGAGAGTGATAATAAAAAATTCGTTTCTACACCTAGCCTGGAAGAAGTTAAGCAGGTAGTATTCTCTTTAAACCCAAACAGTGCAGTTGGTCCTGATGGCTTCACTAGACTTTTTTATCAAACATGTTGGGAAATTATACACAAGGATATCTTGGATATGGTATGTGGTTTCTTTGAAGGAGATTATATGCCTAAAAGCATGACACATACTGCCATTGTTTTGATTCCCAAGGTGGACTGTCCCAACATATTTGCAGATTTCAGACCTATTGGTCTTTGCAATTTTAGTAGCAAAATTCTTTCTAAAGTACTTGCTAACAGACTTGCTAGTATTCTGCCCAATGTGATATCCCCATCTCAAACTGGTTTTATCCAAGGGAGGTCTATTGTTGAAAATATTCTTATAACACAAGAATTATGTCATGGTATGTAATTGGACAATAGGGACATCATCCTGAAACTGGATATGGCCAAGGCATATGATAGGGTCTCTTGGTCATTCCTGATAAAAGTCCAAAGAAAAATGGGTTTCTATGAGAAATGGATTGATTTGGTCTTCAGGATGATTTCTAATATCTGGTACACTATGCTTATTAATGGACAGAGAGAGGGCTTCTTTACTTCTTCAAGGGGATTAAGGCAAGGAGATCCTCTATCACCAGCCTTTTCATTATTGCTGCAGATTTCTTATCCCAACTCCTTGATCATAAAATTCAGTCTCCTGGTGTCATCCCATTCTCTCAACCACATGCCATTCAGCCCATCAGTCACCTTGCTTTCGCGGATGATATGATTATATTCACATCTGGGAGGAAAAACTCAGTGCTCCATATTATGAAGGATCTTCATCTTTATGAACACATCTCTGGACAGCTTATTAGCACTCATAAAAGCTCCTTTTACATGCATCCCAAAAGTGCACATATTACTATTCAGCGTGTGGCTGATCTTATCAAGTACGTTATAGTCAGGAAGGGAAAGAAGATGGACCCCACGGGATAGATATTTCGAAGGATGAGGTGCTGCTATTTTAACAAGCTTTTGGCTAGAGTGTCACAAAAGTGTCAGGGATGGCAAGGGAGACTTTTATCTTCTGGAGGCAAGCAAGTCCTTATTAAAAGTGTTCTTCAAGCTATTCCTGCCCATATTTTTTCAGATGTTGCTCCACCTAAAGCAGTACTTGTGAAGATGGAAAAGAGTTTTTCTAATTTTTTATGGGGACAATCTGAGCAAAAACTCCATTATCATTGGAGCTCTTTGGAACATATGAGTTATCCTACTAAGGAGGGGGGTTTGGGTTTCACAAGAATGAAAGATATAGTGGATGCCTGTAGTGCTAAACTTTGGTGGAACTTTAGAACCACTTCCACTCTTTGGGTCCAGTTTATGAAAGCTAAATATTGTTCTAGGGTTCATCCTGTGGCTAAAGTTTGGCAATATGGTGAATCTCATATTTGGAAAAGAATGACTCTCGTTAGATCTGAGATTGAGCCATACATCACCTGGAGGGTTTGTGATGCTTCTTTGAGTTTTTAGTGGGATAATTGGACTGGATTGGGACCATTGGCAAGGGTGACTAATCAGGCACATGGTAAATATTGGCAACAACCTCTCAAGGAGTACTTAATCAATTCATCTTTCAACTTTGACCACTTACAGTCCCTCATGGACCCTGGTTTTTTCATTCATTTTCAAGTAGATCTTTCTTCTCTTGGCTCAAATAATGCTGATCAGACTCTCTGGCAACCTAAATCCAATGGAGTTTTCTCTATGAAGGCTGTCAAAGATTTCTTAAGGCCTTGTGGTAATGTTAATATCTACTTACAGAATTGTTGGCACACACACTTATATTCCTTTTAAAATGTCCTTTTTGGGCTGGAGACTTTTACTGAGGAAACTCCCCCTGGATTCCACTTTGCAAAAGTTTGGGTATGTCCTCCCTTCCAAGTGTAGTTGTTGTACCAAACCCACTTGTGAGACTACTGAGCATGTATTTGCACAAAGTGAGGTGGCTAAAACTGTGTGGAAATATTTCTGTGGGCTGTTTGGTCTGAATGAACAAGGCATATCCACTGTTAAGCAATATCTTAATGTTTGGTGGGGAGCTAAATCACATCCTAAAAAATACACTGTTAGGGTTTTATTAAAACGATGTATGCCTGTTTTCATTATTTGGGAACTTTGGGTTCATTATACTTCTGTCAAATATGGGGAGAAACAAATCAATGTTGCAAGGACTATTTTTAAAATACGGCTGGATGCTGTGGAAGCTGTAGCTAGGAAATGGCCTAACCTCCGTAAAAATCTTTCTGATTGGAAGACTATTTTCAATTTAAATGGCCATCTATCCAATTCTTATCAGACTCCTACTAAGATGAGGCAGTTTCCTCCTCCAAACAGTGTGAAAATTAATGTCTCTATGTTCTCCAAAGAACATCAATTTGGTACTAGTGCTGTGGTTAGGGACTCCAAAGGTATATTCTTGTATGCTTATGGCAGTGTTGGACATGCTTCAGCCCTGGGAGCCACTATGGTGTTTAACTTCTGGGTATACTTCCCTTTATTGGGAAGCAGATTTTAAGGAGATGTTACAGCTCCTTAATCTTTCTATCCCACTTTTTACTGTGGACCATATCAGTAGGTTGGCCTTTTTACTTTCATGCTATAGTTCTTCTACTGATTTTTGTGATGGTCATACTAATCGTGTTACTAATTATCTGGTCCAATGGTGTTGTAATCACCTTCATTCTAGTATGGATTTTTTTGGGTATTTTTGATCTACCTGCACAATGTCAGCTCCTTTTTCAACATGATATTCAGCAGGTTCATAGCTATTCAGCTTCTAGCTCATGCTAACCTGAGCCTCTTATTGACATGTAGTTGTGTTGCCATTTCCTGGTTAGGTAGTCCTTTCTACCCGGGGGTATAGAGAACTTGGATCTTCGGTGCGCTCTTTTTCCTTTTCCTACTTTCTAGGGGATTGTGTTTGCGTTGTTTGAAGAATTTTTAAACCATTACTGGTTATACTGGGGTTATGGAGAAGTTTGGATATTATGGGTGCGCTTATAATATCTTTTCCTAGCCTTGGTATGTATGGTTTGTGGATAAGGAGTGGTTGACTTGGATGGGTTTTTATTCCTCCCGTTGGAGATGATTACCACTTCTTTGTGTTGCCATGCCTCTCCGTATGGCCTTTATTGTCTTAGTGTGGTTATGCTCGTGTTGGCCTGGTGTGAGTTTGGATTGTCGTGTTGGTTTGATGTTTTAGACCTTATTGTGGCTTTGGTCAAGCCCTAGACTAGTATGTTGTTTGTTTCGATCTTATTGTGGCCTTGATCAAGCCTTAGTTAGCTTGTTTGTTGTTTAGACCTTATTGTGGCNCTCGGATGGGTTTTTATTCCTCCCGTTGGAGATGATTACCACTTCTTTGTGTTGCCATGCCTCTCCGTATGGCCTTTATTGTCTTAGTGTGGTTATGCTCGTGTTGGCCTGGTGTGAGTTTGGATTGTCGTGTTGGTTTGATGTTTTAGACCTTATTGTGGCTTTGGTCAAGCCCTAGACTAGTATGTTGTTTGTTTCGATCTTATTGTGGCCTTGATCAAGCCTTAGTTAGCTTGTTTGTTGTTTAGACCTTATTGTGGCCTTGGTCAAGCCATTCTAGGTTCCCTTACCCCCTTATTTGTTATTGTATCCCTGGAAGGTTTGTCTTCCGTATGAGGGGCTGGCGTTAGGCCTTGGTATAGTCCTCCCCTCACTTTGTGGCTCCCTATTATCTTAATAAAACTCGGTAAGGGTTGCCTACAAAAAAAGTCCAAGGAAGAAGTTCAACTCACCCATCATACTCATTTAGAATTCGCTTGTCATAATTCTTGAAAATTCATTACATAAGGCTTCATTAGTTGACCCAAAAATAATATCATCAACATAAATTTGCACAATTATAAGATCTTTTGCTTTTGTTTTGACAAAAAGTGTGGAATCGATCTTTTCTTTTGCAAATCCATGTGAGATGAGATGTTCGGTAAGCCGCTCATACCAAGCTCTAGGAACTTGTTTGAGTCCATAAAGAGCCTTATGAAGTTTAAAAACATGATTTGGAAAATCAAGATTTTCAAAACCAGGAGGTTGTTCATGTTGAAACACGGGCTTGTCACGTTTTCGTACTAAAGCCGTGTTCGTTTTTGTAACAGGTTCTGATAATGCCAAACCGCCGTGATCAATTCGAACATTGAATATACAAGGCGAAGAACGAAGATAAGAGCAAGAGCTGAACGAAGACCAAGAACGAAGACCTTAATCATAGTATTGAGTCGGTCTTTATTGTGATCAAGACCGACCCAATCTTTACACCTTGGCTCTTTAGGCTAAAATCTCTCATTGCATTTCTTACATCATAAAAATGTTTTTCAAACTTGTTTAAGTCATCAAAAACACTTGGTGTTCGCCCAAACCAAAAACCAAGCCATCCAGTGTTCGGCTTTAAGAAACCAGCGTTCGGCTTTCGGTTGTCGGGTTTGGTATTTGGCATCCGAACCAACCAAGTGGTTTTCAGCATTTTATGATCTGCTTTCTCTCTTTGGCATGTTTAAACGGTTCTCCAACAAAAACACTTTGAAAACCATCTCTCGTTTTTTAGTCGTTTGACAAAAACCACGCAAAACAGCGTAAACTTGGCTAGCCGTGGTTTTTAATCAAATGAAGTGATTTTAAAGTGTCTCACTTGATTTCTTAGCCAAATACATCAAATAAGTGTTTTTAAACACTTGGTTTTTATTTTGGAGAACCTTGGATTTTTCGGTCGGTTTTTGCATCGGTTGGCTAGGCCGTGGTTAAGGCAAAAACCACAGGTTTTTGGCTAACCACCCACCCAGCAATGGGAAGAACATCCCATCGATGGGTAAGTAGCCCCTTAGCCAAACCAACTTCCAGAACCATGCCAAACAGCGATGGGAAGATCTACCCATCGCTGTTCAAGCCTTGGTCCAACATTATCACAAGACAGAATGCCCTTACCCAGCGATGGGAAGCTTTACCCATCGATGGGAACCCAGCGATGGGAAGGCTAAACCATCGATGGGAAGGCATGACCGTTGGAAGTCATTTAAGGTTGATTCTTTCCTTGTTTGGAAGTCAACCTCCCACCCAGCGATGGGAAGCTTGTACCCATCGATGGGTAGATAACCGTTGGCTTCAAAAACTGAAGGAAAATTGGCTTACCAGCGATGGGTAAGTTCCAAACATCGATGGGAAGCCAATATCCTGCAGATCCCAAATTTATTCAATCCCTTAAATC